TGTGCAAGCCTTGCGCGACTGCTTTGTACGCAACGATGTGCCAGGTGGTCCCACAATTGAGTTGCACGACCGCATCACTCACATAGCTATCTTCAACCTCCACCACACATGTACGGGCGCTTGTCAGATACAGCGCGTGTAACAGAACTTGCGATGTCACAAACGTGTCTTGTGCGAGTGTCTCTCAGGAATGGTGTACGATCACATGAGTGGAGTGATATTCACGTCGTCAAACTGCAACGCTCATATGCTAATAGTATACATGGGGGATGATTGAACAATGACCTTATTCATTCTCGTCATAGTCATCAAAAGGCCAAGTAAGTAAGGCTCTTTCCAGTTCCTCCGGGTCGTCTTTCAGGTTGTCCACTATGCATTCCTTTGCCTTGCTTGCTTTTTCTTTCGCGAAGTCAAAGTCTTCGTGCGATGTGTATCCGCTATGGGATACACCCATTTTCTCGCATAATTCTTCCCTAAACATGTTGCCTTCGTGCAATGACTTCCGCATATCTGCTCGTCTCTGCATCTCTTGCTCGGATATGACAATGGGGCATGGCGGAACCGTGCCGTCTACGGCGGCAGATGCAAACACTGGCCATTCTTCCACAACATCCGCGATACCGATCTGGAGATGAGCATTGTCACCTTGCCATGGAGCGCCGGCATCGTGGAATATCTGACGTGTCATGAAAGTTCCGTCGTGTGTACAAGCCTGCCAATGAGGCTCGTTCAGCATCTGAGTGAGGCCAAGGTACCAGAAATGTATGTGTCGTCGGCGATATAGTTCTTCTGCCTCAGCACGCTCATTTCCAGCCATAGTAGAAAGATTTTCCGGTGGTTTGGGCTCCGTGAAGCTTCGAGACTCTTCGTCTGCGTAGTTTGCAAATGCCGCTGGTATGTCCGCGGCGAGGAAAGCAGGGAGAACTTCGGAGTGCTGCCAGTCGATGAACCCGGTGATTTGAAGATCGTCAGATATCAGGATGTTATTAGGAGAAAGATCTGGATGTCGGAGGGTGGGCGAATGCAGTGTCGCGTCTTCAGGTATAAGGTGAGGTATGAGGCGTATGTAGTCTTCTAGCGAATGAAAGTGGTCTTGAGGGTCTTGCTTCTTGTATCCAAACGACTCAGCGTATTCGCGGTAGAATGGGTGTCGCGGCCGTCCGTATTTGCAGATCCACGCCAACTCCTTCTCGGCATGACTTCGAAGAACGTGCTCGGGGTTAGCATCTACACGTATGAGAATCAGCGGAATGTACATTTGAGTGAACATGACTTACGAGGGCCTCGGTCAATATCAAGATTCCCACGTTCGCCGTACCACCATTTCTGAGACGCGTACGGACCCATGCACAAGCTGCCATCGGATTCAGGGATGTCAATGTGGGGGGTACCGTTAGGCAAGTCGCGGGGATAGTATATGCTACCACAGGCGGGAAGCCTGTTCGCGAAGAGCTTGGTTTCCATCAAGACTATTTTGTGCAAAATATGACATCTTTCCTCTTCGGCTAAGCTGGACCAGATATCACTGAGAGGCTTTCCCGGTAGTCTTTCCATCAGCATATACTCTACACCGACAGCGTTTTCACCAGTCGAGTAATTCAGAACGTGAGGTACAGGTATTCCGCTAGTGTGAAGGAAGTCCAGCGTTGCGACTTCACTCGCTACCGCCAGACGTCGTGGTAAGGTTGATGGGTATGGAGGACGGACGAGTACCGACGAGCTGTCATTCATCGTTACTTCGAGTATGCGATTGAAACCGCCTTCGGCGATCTTCTTTATCGCGTGCACATCTGAAGCTGGTCTGTTTAGTGCTTTCGCAGCTACCTTCTTGAGTTCGGAGACGTTGAAGACTAAGCGGCGTTCAGCCATGCGCAAAGGCTCGTTGATACTACATGTTCATGTCAGCCAATTTCTAAGTGAGTGAAATGATGCGAAGTCGTATACATCCATCTACCAGAGGTAAACTCGAACAACTCGCGGTGGTCTGTATTCTGCAGGCTAGCATTTGACGACAGGAACGCGCGCCTGCAACACAAGGAAGTGATCCGGACGCATCTAGTTCCCACCACAAATGAAGCCCGCACCTTTAGCCGGTATAATGTCTGATGGACGGATGATGGATGAGTCCTAGATCTCATGATCGTGGTAATGATGGTGATGGTCGCGCAACGAGTGTTTGCTTCGCACAAGCAGTGCGTGTGCACAGACAACTACCGGTTTTGCCGTCAACTGCAGCCTTGCGGCACAGTGTGCATTTACCACTACGAACGTCGTCCATTGCAAGACATTGTAGGCATGATGTACGCACTGTAGGTGGTGTCGTGCAATCTGCCTGAGGCGGGCGTAGCTCAAGGCGCACAGGCCGCGGACAGTCGCTCCCGAGGTCCGCTCGATGCCATTGCCATCCCTAGGGATGTTAACGATGGCTCATCCCACAACTGCACCCTCGACATCCCGCGCCATAAGAAGCGTTCAGGCGCAGATGAGCATTCATTAAAGCACAAGCGAGGATGTATCGCAGAGCCCTCTATGGCTGAACGGGAGTCGCTGCCCGAGCATCAGCCTGCCCGCTACGCTTGGAACGACCCTACCGGACCACGAACGCGCCCTCATTGACCGATGGATAGACAATCAACAATCTCCAGAACCTCTATACGGCCTTATCGCGCCTCTGATACGGAAACGGGTCGCGGCTCTTGCGCATCGACGCGCCATGGTCAGCAAACTTTAGAGGAAATCGGTTCTTGGAGTCGCGCTCCTCGTTCTGAGCTAAGAGCAGCGCAGCATTACCGTAGTCAAAGAGGTCGAACCGAGCGCGGACTACACGTGCAGCATATGAAGATATGAGAACGTGCAGAGTCCCAGTTTGGCTCGAAGCCCTTACAGAAGACCGCACCGCCGCCACCAGCGTCGACTCGATTTCAACCGTTCTCCGACCTCCTTTGCGACGCGCACGACACCTTATATGTAGAGCATACAACCGATGACGATATCGGCCAAGGGCATCTGCTCAAGTATACAACTAGTCTGGCTTTGGCGAGATTGGACGAACAAGAATATCAGCGGCGGCGTCAATCATGAAGTCGACGCCGGATACGAACAGAGGGGATATGATAGTCCTGGAAGGCCGACGGAATGGCGAGCCATATACTTTGTGGAGCCTATATTGCCGGATGCAGACTATCTTTGTAAGTCGGCAGCGATAGTCTTCAAGCTGGTTGTTTATCCTAGGCGATAGCTCGACATCCGCAACTCGCGTCTAACTACCGGTGCTGATTGCGAGAGGTACAACCATGAGCTAGGCGGCTACATGGAACTGCCCAGAGACGGCCATGTCTGGCAAGACCATACTTGATATTTACATGATTCGGAGAAGCAGCGCTGATCATCTCTGAACCCAGTATACTGCTGAAAGCCACTGGGCTAGAACTTATATCTTGGACATCTCACTGACCTGTTCCAAAGATGTTCTACAACCTGAACCCTGTACTTCCTCGTTGTATCAACTCAGAACGGCGATGGTGTCTTCGTCGCTTTGTAAATCATTCGTTTGATGGTACTGGGGCGTAACGATGTTCACAAACTGACGCGGTATGTGATTCGCGGCTTAGTCTATGTCAAAGACATGAGAAGCGGGGAGCACATAGGTACGAATGTTGAGTTGATCCATATACAGGATACATGGTTACCACTTCTTACTATTAAACATCGCGTCATCGATGGTCACTCATCTTTCTGTGACCAAGTGTCATTGAGCAGTGATACTCACATGCTGCACATGCGCACGGACGTGGTGGCTTGGCCTACGGCAGATAGATCCCCGCGTGCTGACAAGCTTACCAACTTTGTCGCACGCATCTTCTTCCGATAAGTATAATCACTCGGAAACTAGCGATCAGATCGCTGGCTGTAAGTCCAAACATCATTTCTCATTGGACACACAACTGGCATTCAATACTTCTCAGCCACTCGTGGGTTTCCCATTCGGCAGCTAGCCTTACCTCAGCCTTGCACAAAAGCTACCTCCAATCCTGAAAGTCATGAGATATATCAGAACTGACAGCTAGAATAAGGTGCCAAGGACGTACTGTGTTGCAGACCAACCTGTCCCATCCATAGCCCCTAAAAGAGAGGATCTATCGAAGACGCTGGGCGTGATGAGTTCTTCTCTGCTCTTGCAATGGGATCATGATCGGCAAGCATACTTCTACGTCGACTCCAAAAGTGGATCAAGAGTGTATATGAAAGAATCCCGCAGTGAGCCCTGGAAATGGGACCCAGAACGAAAAGAATACTACTACACAATTCATAGCGATGGGTCGAGAACGTATAGTTCTTGGGAATGGGACCAGGAGCGACAGACGTATTACTACTACACCAGAGATGGCTCCAGAACATATTTCGACGGGTCGCACGTTAGCCACGGTGACCATTCGTACGCTGACAAAAGCGACGGATCAATAACCTATACGGACGCTTCATACATGCCCGGAACGCAGTCAAGCGCCGGAAGAATGTCAGATGCAAGTAACATACAGAGTAAAGCGGACCCATCGCCGATAAGCCTCCCCGACCTGATGGAGCGCAAACGGGGTTCATACAACAAGAGCCTCTTGGATGAGAAGTTTCGCCCGTACGGGGACTACAACAAAGCGAAACAGAAAGCGAATCACATTCCCAGGTCTGTTCCTTCAGTGGCTCCGTTCAGCATAGATACATGGGATATCTTGGACCCCAATTTCAGCTCAAGAATCTCAACTTCTGACTCAGGCAAAACTTCCCCTCCAATTTCTGACTCAGAGATATCATCTCGTCAGAACAAGACCAGACGAAACGAGACTTACACCAAATGGATGCCGCCTTCTCCAGATCTTCATCCCATCATGGACTGTGGAAGCCTCCCTTACTACATGCCATTGGCAACAGCAGGGCCACATAACTGGAAGGAAATTCGAAATTGGCTTCCAGTGGAGTGGCGGTGGGACGTTGAGTATCAAGCCATGCGCGCCGGAGATAGTGCACACTGTCGGGCCTGGAACTGTACACCTCTTGAGCCGGATGAGCCGACAGAATACCCTCTCACAATCGCTCAGGCTCCGGTGGTGCTGCCAGTAGAGTATCTTTGGCCTCCTGCTGGAGGAGTGACTCCACCACCTGACCCGCGACCTGCCTCACCGATCGACGCCCGCGCCGAACTATCTGCAGAGCTTGTAAAAGACCTCTTTCTCACTTTCCAGGGTAGCATCGGGTTCTATGTATTGATCCATGGCCTCCTCCAAGTACTCGTGCCAGCGGACTATGATACTGCCTGGGCTTCTTCACACCTCCCGCACAAGTACGGTGGCCTCAAGGTCTGTTACATCGAACAGACTCTGGAGCCGACCATGTTACCAACCAGGACAGAAACTACCGGAAAGACACTTGACAGATCATCGCTCGTGCCCTTGGGCACATCAAGCTCAGCCCCAGCCGCACGCACGCCAGCTCAATCCCTCGCAAATAGCTCGTCATTAAAGCTCAACGACTTCGTAGAGGCCCGCCCAAAGTCTAACCACCGAAACGAGAAATTTTCTGGACGTGTCGGGCTCAAAGTAAGCCAAACAGGCATCCCACTCATATTGATGTCGACCCATGTCATCACTGAAGCGATTCTTGCAAAGTCGCACCGCGACAGCATACTTGGCCGGAAACATGACGAACGCGTCGAGAAATTGAAAGATGATTGGAATGAGCATGTTGAAATCTGGGCTGGCGGTGCAAATGTTAGTATATTAACACGCCGATGATGATCGTACAGCATGGCTGTAATCTCGTGCATTACTGTTGATGCGCTCTTATTCTAACATATCTGTCAGTGCGGAACGGTCCTCCAAAGCTTCGACAAGGAAGCGGGAATTTATCCGAACGGCTTCAACCACGACATCACTCTCATCAAACCCGCGCATCGGACTTTGGTGAAAGATGTCGCATCCCCTGTCAGCGGCCTTGGCTGGCTCAATCACGACTCGTGGATCTCGCTCCGCCAGCAGACGACAACAATCAAAATCTTAGCTGACGCCGAAAGCTCAGACTCCGCGAGAAGCTTACAGGCAGCAAAAAGCATCAAGTGCAGTCGTCCATCGGACATCATGGTGGTAGGCGAAGGCATCTTCCTCAACCAGAAAGCTGCAGCGGGCGATTCGAAGAGTCTGAAACACCACGACGCCTCAACATGGAAGGATCTTGTGTCACGCGCAATCCTTTACCGGGTCTATCCTGATTTCGATCCACCAAACGGCCATAGCGGCACTGTGCTTTATGCGGACGGAACAAGGACAGATGGAACCGAAGGTCCAAGCGTCGTAGGCTTCCAAAGCTTTGTACAACGCAGTGGTCACGTGCAGAATTTCGAGATGGAAGGTGATGCACTGGAGCGGCGATTGAGAGCTGGCAGAGTTGCATTCTATGGAGCGTTCGAAGTCCCCGCCGAACTCAAGAAGTACCATATATACTAATCGTAACCATTTTCCCGGTTTTCCGAAGTTATACTGTCGTTGAAAGATCGTGTTGCCAGCGCACCAATCGAAACTTGGCCTTCACCTTGGCCCACAAGTCCCACAGTCTTTGCCTCTCGTCCCACTGATAAATAGCAAAAGTTGCGAGTCCAATCGACACTGTGACTACTACCCAGATCCATATATTCAACTGCTCCAGCTCAACAAAGTTCATGCCGAATATCGAAGTGCAGTACGAAAGCGGAAGAAAGATGGTCGCAAGTATAGTCAGCTTCGTGACCTGCGTAGCAAGCGTAATCTGTTTCTGCGACTCCGCGAGAGAAGTGGCGCTGACTAGGATCGATATCGCTTCCTGGTAGTGCAACGACAGCTGGCGGCAACGCGATCGAAGGAATTCAAAGTCGGCCTTGACTGCATCTTTGGCTTCCTGAGCTACATCGCTCTGGTCTTGTGTGAGATTGGCCGCCCATCGAGCCAGCTTTGGCGAGCTGATGAATCGGATAACTTCTTCATGTCGACTTGCGTGGTCATCCAGGAGGTGTTTGTGCATGATGAGTTGTTCCAGATGCTCCGTTGAGTACTTCCGATCCCATTTCGTCGACGCGATTATGTCGTACCATTTTTGCAGTGTCGATAGTAGCTGAATCTCCGAGGCGGCTGCAAACAAGAGTATAGGTGCGAGAGCGTATAGCGGATCTTGCCCGGCAATTACGTGATCATCAAGCATGACGTGGAGCTCTGATGGCAGATGGGACGCTGTCTGGAAGAGCGAGCCATCGGTGTCTTGCGTGATATCGAGATCGGAAAAGGGCAGCGGCCATGAATGTTTGATCGTCGACTCCTGTCCCAGCAAATGTACAGGTAATAAGCGGATATCTCGGCGTCCTGTCTCTGTCTTGGCCGCCATATACTCGACGAAATGATGGTAAGTGCGGCTATGAGAGAGATTTCTGCTTCCGACATCTGTCCACAAGATTGCTGATACACATGGTAAGCGGTGACTAAACGAAATCAAGGTTTGACAGGTCGCTCACCAGTCCAGCCGTCTCCATTTGACTCAACGGTGATGGACACATCTTGCTCGATGACAAATTGAAGGTTGCTAAGATATGCATGGCCTCTTACATACGAACAGCCAGGAGCTGCGGCCAAACGTCTGGGCATCCACTCAACGTCGTCGGGTAGAAGCCTTCGTCGCGCTTGCAAGATCAAGCTACTGAATGAGTCTACAGGCAGCTTGTTCTTGCCAAAGTTTCCCTGGGTGTTAAGACGCAGTAGGAGCCCTTTGTTCGAAGTGGCGTATGGGCTTCTCGTGATTGCGTGAAGGACAGGCCCGTCAGTCGAGCGCCAAAGATGGATATGCTGCCGAAAGAACTCGGGAGCGATATTGTATTTCGCGCCCACTTCACATATCCAAGACCCTGGAAGATGTCCATTGAGGAAAAGGACCTGTCCTTGCCCTTTGCTCGGAGGCGGAGCTGCAACTAGGTCCTGTAACTGAGAATATTTGTAACTATGACGTTGATACCGCTCAGAGCCATGACAAGGCGGCCCATACACAGACAAATGGCCAAGATGATACGCTTCAAGGTCACTGTATTGCTTGGGTAGATGTGCCTCATCAGCTCGGAGCAGCTCAGCGAGAAATCTGTAATGATAGCCAAAGAAAAGCGTGCGAGTATATGAACGTGCAGCGTAGTTGAGTATATGCTGACGATAGCCTTGGGCTTCAGGCGATAGCTGCATGTTGCCCGTGTGGCTAGAAGATACGACACAAGTTATAGGCGGTAAAGGATCGGGGAGGAAGGCATCGTAGCAAGTAAGCTCCATCCATGTTAAGAAGTACCTTTAGAACACAGCGTGTCAGATCCGGTTTTCGCAACAGCATCAAAGGCTGGAGACAAGCCAGCTGCACAATCATGGTGTTCTCCGTCGCGACCAGTCAGGCAGGCGCATAAGCGAACGCGCACCATGGATCTTCGCAATACCTGCGGATGGGGGCTAGCCGCCCGTGATACGAGGCTGAATGCTTCCGATGTCGTTCATCAGCGGAACGACCCCACGACTTGTGCGACGCCAAGCAAAACCTGAACAGCGGTCATGAAGACCACGATCGTAGCGAACCTGATGTTGTCAGTTTTATGAGGTGCAACAGTGTTGAGTATCTCACAAGAACGTCCAGAATTGCAAGGTATCGTTACGGTTACGGAACAAGACCCAAATGCTCCATGGCTTCGCCTGCTGCAGATGCTCATCTAGGATCATGATTCGAGACCAGAGATGAGGGAATATGCCAGGTGTCCATGCGATCGGCTGTTGATTTATGGCGCTGATGAGGTGAGGAAGCTTAGGGTCGTATTCGCTGCTACGTTGAAGTCGACTAAAGGCTTGGTAATCGCTGATCGCGCGATTGCGGTATCGTCGAGCAGAACATGGCTGACATGGGCAACATCGCCGCTGTATATAGATATACCAAGTCAGTGTATGCTCCATATGCAGTTCGTAGAGAAACACGTACCCATAAACCAAGCTTAGCATGAGGACCCAATGAGGGCCAGGCGTTGAATAGCAAGCTGTATGACTCCATGACCTCTTGCGCCAGCTCATTACCAACACCAACCATCCTAAGGGGAGCGGCATCTAAGGCGCATGGTAGCGCGAAGATCTCAAGTATGCGACGTCCGTTGCGGTTCGATAGCAGGAGGTGCCGGGAGATGTTGTGAGTCCAGGTGATTTCCACTGCTCCGAACACAGTCAACCTGTACGCGTTGAGGTGGGTGGCGTCAACAAAGAGCGACTCCAAGGACTCTAAATCTGCCATGGTCACCACAGAGGCGAATGCAACAGGCGCTGGTAGCAAGCCGCTGCCCGCTACCAATTCTGCCAAGCTCTCGAAGTATGGCTGGCCACCCAGCAGGCTTCCGTGCATGCGCAGATTGTAGCTTGCCGTCACCATTCGGAGCTTACCGGCTACCGTTGGTAGATCGGTGAACGAGCTCAGTAACAGTGTGCAGCTGCCAATAGCGCGCACTACCGTGTCCTCTTCGTGCCATTGTGTGTTCGGGTGGTTGGATAGCGAGTGTAGCAGCCCTTCAATGCTCCTCTTCATTGACCCAAGGGGCTGAGGGCCATGGAAGTATTGTACTATGGTTATGAGAAGATCTTCGTATTCTGGAGTACCACGAGCATCGTGCTGGTTCAGAAGGTAGTTGATGTACGGTTCGACGGTGTCATCGTTGGGGTAATTCGGGAAGCCCAAGGCGTGCGCGAGACGTATTCGGAGGGGATCAGCCGGGGGAGGCCCTAGAAACATGCCCATTGTGTATATTGGGCAACCCGTAAGCCTCAATTCCTATGGCAGAGTGAAGGCAAAATAGATCGCTGAATGCGCAAAGAGAAGGGTTTCCATGTGGAGGCTGGCAGGCTGTCCATGAGGCTGTGCATCGCAAGGGGATAGCCCATCAGGATGGCATTGCCCCTTTCGACCAGGCGGAGGCTGAGTTTTGGCTGACATGATCATGCATGTGTGCCGGCGCGTAGCGATGGATGCGTGGTGGCAGTGAAGGACCTCGGGAGGAGAGGGCGTCACGGGCTGCACGCGTCGCTTATCGATAAGACACCTCGCGCTTAGGCAACCCGCGTCACAATCTCGCCTGCGCCCAACCACAGACATGACGAACTCACCGACGCGTGTTTCCGAGATTATGTCACACACACATGAATTGAGAATCCTCCCGTGCACACACTGGTGCAGTTATCGATATGTAATATACGCGCTGAGTCTACAACTATCCATTTGCTAACCAACCAACAGGGACGCCGGCAGCAGTAGGCGCAATGGCAAGCCAGCATCCTGCGAACCATGCCGGCTGAACAAAACCAAGTGTGATCACGGCCATCCAAAGTGTGATCGATGTCGTCAACGTGGTATTGAAGACCGCTGCTTCTACCACCCAGCACCTCTCACCAGACAGCGTCAGAGTGCCGATGAGTCAGGAACAGGTGAAGCCCGCCCTCCCAAAAGAAAGTATGCATACATCTGGAACTACATTCACATCAGTATTTTGACTCGAACAGACGACCCTCAAAGCAGGCTTCGGATGCTGTTGCCGCTTTTGCTCCAGCGTCTCCGTCGCATGGTGACAAACTTGCGGATGCCGTTGCTGCTGATGTATATCACCCTGGGTTCCTCGGGCCTGGATCGTACGCCGTACTTCTTCCTCAGGATGAAGAACCCGGTCAGATGCGTGAACGCGAGGAGTCTGTTGCATCAGAACGATCAGATCGCGAACTTACACACCAGCACACCCTGTCCAAGTCCATGCGATACCAGATGGCTTGTGATGTTTTGAGCACTCTTCGCCATTACAACGCTATCAAAGAGCTCGTTCTATGGTATAATGCAACAAATGAAGCAGGTGTGATACCTGCCCAGGTTCAGGTCGACGCCGTGAATGCGTTAGAAGCTGTTGTTGACAAGCATGACCTTCGGCGGAAGAAACCCAGTTCTCTGCTGATAAGCCAAGTACTCGAGACGACTGCACGCCCTTTCACAGTATCACAGTCAATGGAGGCACACGACTTTCACATCTTGTGTTCCGGTGATAATTTACGATTCGAAACTATCGGCTTTCTCCTCGCGACGGCCGGGCGATCGCTAACGTTTGGCTTCGTTCCGGATATCTTCAGTGATCCTGCCAACAAGGACATGAAGTTACACTTTGCCGATGAGCTACTTCGCGCGAGTACGACCTGTCTTTTTCTCACGACGATGCTTGCGACAGTCAACGACATAACGATCTGGATGTATTACGAAAACTACCTATTTACAATCATGATCTGCGGCTACCAAGGCCCACCCAGCTGGCGACGGATAGGCGAACTGTCGACACAGATATATGCACTGGGTATACATCAAGAGAAGAAGTGCGCTCATGCTCCGAAATGGTTGACGGAAACACGCCGTAGGGTTTTCTGTTCAGCATACAACCAGGACAAGTCGATATCCACCTTCCTTGGCCGTCCCATACGTATCAGCAAGAGACACACTGACATCGAGCTTCCACTGGACCTGGCCGATAATGAAGTCACCGGTGACCAGGCGACTTTGGAATCTGCCATCGCAGCGTTGGACGAGGACGGTTGGAATACCAAAGGCAGATGGTTGAGAGCGTCTTGGATCGTAAGTCTTGCACCTAGGCTGGTTTCGTTCCCTCAGCTAACGTACATTAGCGTTTACGTCATATATCCCTGCGAAGTCGCGAAGAAATCCTGGAATTCTCGCTCGTCAAGATAGACGCAAACGCAGAAGCTCAGCTACTGTACGCATGCTAAGATGACCCGACTTTGACTTCTACTAACTAGCCTGTAGAGATATATCCGAGCGTGTACGCACTTCCTGGGAGACGCTACCCAAACATATGCGATACTGGAAAACCTGTTGGGAAGACGACGTTCCCACGGTAATCTGTCTGATGCTGTCCATCATACACCTCACGCATTGGTACAACGAGTTCATGATCCAAAAGCTGCTCGATTACAGCCCATTGACGCTCAACACTGCCCTACTGCGCGTCTCTGTTGATCTTCTTTGCAATACACTTACCTTGGGTAGAATACGCGATCGATCTTACGATGTTCAACGCGACATGCTCAACGCCCTACTGCTGTTTGGTGTACCCGCAGCGTCGGTACTTGCTACAGCATTGCGCGAGCAACATCGAACAGGCCAGCAATTCCCCGCTGAAATATCCCGCGCGGAGATCATTCGCATGCTCAGCGTGCTCATATCACATCTTGATTCAGCCGCACACATGGAAAACTCTGGAGCTAGGCACGGCGAAGCCAACTATAACCTCTTTCGCAAGGCGAGCAAGATTTTCACCAAGGTCATTGACACAGTCTTGGACACCCGGCCCGCGGAAGAGATTACCCCAGCGAGTGCTCAGCTTGGGCTTGACCTGGATCTGGACATTTTCTCCGGCGCTGGGTTGGATGGTTTTGAAGGAGGCATGGAATTCCCCGGCATGGGAATGTCACTTGGCATGAACGGGAATGGAAATGGAAACTTTAGTGATGCTGCGGATGATTGGGGTGCTCTCGGTCAGTGGAATGCCTTTGGTGGGCCTGTATAAAGCCCTGTCACCACTGGCTATGCGCCCTGCAGGAGCCCTCGCACATATATGTATCGCGCAAGTTGATACGGAAATTGTCGACGTGTTGGATGTACATGTTTAGAGTACATTTGACCTTGCGCAAGCACATACAACCGTCGATACGCTAATTACAATCTAGTACAATGCTACTGACAACCTTTTTGAGGTATCATTTATAATAAAAAGAACGCCTCTCCCCAACTTAGTCCTGAACATACTCTCCTTTTACGCCTCCAACGCAGCCGTTCTCTTGATGTTTGTGTAGCGGAAGCCGAAAGCAGCAAGGAACGCGGCACCACCGAACGCAATACCAACGATGAGACACTCGCGGAAACCAGCCACATAGGCCTCAAGCACTCCCTCGAGGAATTGCGCTGGAATCAGCGTCTTGAGCTCGGAAGCACCGGCGTCCAGAACGATCTGGGGGTCGAGACCTGGTGCTGTGATGGGCAGCTGCTTGAGGAGCGTATTCTGGAAGGCAGCCTGAGCGGACGAGACACCAAAAGCACCGCCGAGGGTTTGGATGACTGCAGCGCTCGTTAGTAGTGCGTTGAGGATAGCAACGAAGGAATGTGGCTTACAAAGAAGTGTGGCTGTGGCTAAAGGCACATCGACTTCCTTAGTGGTCGCCTGGATGAGCATGACAGGGACCTGGAAGCTTACTCCGATACCGATACCACAGAGGATCTGGTATCCAATCCAGACTTTGGCGGGTGAATCGACATCGAACGTGTAGATCATGCCGGCACCGATGGTTGTTATGGCCGCTCCTCCAATCATCCATGGATATGCGTAGCCGGTCTTTGTGATGATCTGGCCAACGATCACGACGCAGATGGCTGCAAACGTTGTAAGCGTTTGAAGGAGAGGATGGATGTTGATGGTCTACTTACTGACTGCCAGGATGAAGGGAACAGTGCGAACACCACTTGACGCTGCTGAGACGCCCTGCACGGATTCTATCGATCATTAGTCATGGTCGGCATGTCATGTCACTCAGCTAGCTTACGGAAGTAGATCGGCAGGTAGTAGAACGTGACCAGGAAGGCGGAGTTGATCAGGAACGAAAACATCGATCCGACCCAGATAGTTCTCCTTTGGATGATGAGGCTGTGAACCATGGCGTTCTCACCCAGCCACCACTGATCGACCACGAACAAAGCCATCAATACGACGAAGGCCACCAGACTGCCGATCACAGCACCGCTGTTCCAAGCCTTGGAGATACCACCCCATTGCAGCGCAAGGATGAAGCAAACAATTGCACCAATGATGAGGATCAAACCGGGCATATCGAATGTGCGAAGCATGCCACGCCAATCAGGGCGAGTCTTCGGTGGTTCGTTGGCGAAGAAGAGGAGGATAAAGAGGCATGATACACCGCCTACGGGAAGATTGATGTAAAAGCTGTGAAGCTGTTAGCGAGGCAGTGAAAGGGACCTTTGCGATGGGGCGTAACGTACCACCAGCGCCATGAGACATGGCTGGTGAAAGCACCACCGATCAACGGGCCGACAACACTGGCGAGACCATATGCTGCACCCATCAGCCCGCTGTACTTTGGTCGATCTGCTGAGGGTACCAAAACGGCAATGATGGTGTACGAGCCAGAGAACAGTCCAGCTGCACCAACACCGCATATCGCGCGACCGATGATCAAAGCTACGGAGCTGGGTGCGGCACCTATTGACGTAACTCATTAGCATGGTGTTGATGTCAAGATCAACTAATGTTGACTTACCGCAGATCACACTACCCAACTCGAAGAAGAAGATGGAGATGAGATACGTCCACTTCAGCGGAAAGAAAGTGTACAGTCGTCCCCAGAACGCTGTAGTCGCAGCGGTAGTGATGAAGAAAGCTGAGCCATACCAGCCGATGTCTTGGAGACTCTTGAACTCATCGGTGATCTTGGGGATGGCTGTTGAGATGATGGTCTACGGTTTCGGTTAGGCCTTGCTTGGAAAGGGTCGAAGAAGAGAGACTCGGTACTCGTACTTACAAAGTCTAGGGAAGCCTGCAGCGATGGGTCAGTGTCTGGTTTTCGCATTCATGGGTGGAGATGTTGCTTACAAGGAAAATAGCCAAGACCAGTCCTACAAGTACGAGTACGAATCGTCCTTTTGTCAACTGGATATGCGCTAGTTCTTCTTTTTCCTCCCTTGTATTGACCGATCCTGTGTTGAGCGACCCTTCGGTGGAATGAAGATCCTTCTCCTTGTCTGGGCGTCTAAGAACGTCTTCCTTCATCTTTGCAAGAGTATCGCAGATGGTATGAAGAGAAGAGAGACGAATGTGCTTGATGGTCGTAGTGCTGCTGCTTTACATCGCAGGTTATTAGCCAAATAGTAGTCCCGACGATGCCGCAACATCATAGACACCCTAGACGGCCCCAGTCCCGAAGTGCGAGGACGGACGAAAATCATCTTCATGCGAGGAGCCCGCTGGAGTGTTTGGTCTGCGCTGGGAAAGGACCTCCTTGGTCGCTTCCGTTCTTGCACGGAGTTCCGTCGGCGCTAGCGGACAAGCGTGACTTCCACAACCAAAGGCCTCGGTGTTTTGTCAGCATCGCTCAACTCATTGCTAGCTACTGCATCGGGGTCGCGCATGTCTTCAGTCAGCTATGGCGATCCTATCGAAGTTTTGCGGACGTCCTGTTCATGCTGGTGGTGGTTGGGGGCGCGTGCTTTGGACGCGACGCGCCGGTGGCGTCACGCCAAACTCGTAACCAATGCACTTGTAGAGAACGACAACATGCTTGGGACGCTTTTAATGAACGTGAACATTAAGATGGCAGTGTACACGGATATTGGTGTGTTGATTCGACACTTGTAGTGGAGAGCTTATAGACATAACGGGTGGCAATGTGCCAACTTTATCAGCGTGACATCAAGAGAAGTCATGGAATGACTTGCTGGACGGTGTTCCATCCCTGGTGTCATGAGCGGGGTACACGCTGTTCCACGTCTTATTTTCCGTACGTGGGGAATATGGCGCATGCTTCCACGCAGTAGTATACACATTTGGACTAAGTCGGAGTACGAAGAAAGAGGCTTTCGTGAAGCATAGCAATATTCGTGGGCAACGCGCACGATCCTTCACTAGACACCAGCACGACAAAATTAAGGGCCAATATTTAGAGGATAGACAAAATAGTATACTTGGTACGCAAGGAGCGAAACTATAGGGATACACTATAGCAAGAAGGGAAGGAGACGTAACGGCATGGTAGAGGGTTAGGGCGTGGTGTACGAAGCCACCAAGTTCTTCGGAAGAAGAGCTGTTCAGATAGCAAGATCAGGATGTTCCACCAATGCCTCCTCATACATGGCCACAAGCTTCTTCTCTTTATGCGCATCTCTTGGTTTGATGTCGAAGACGAACACCTCCGGCCGAGTAATGAGCAAGTCTGTCCAATCTTCTGTGTGAATTGGTATATCTGTTGTTATGTCAGCATAAGAACGAGGCGCCAAAAAGTGGGATACGTACCAATGCCAATTTTGTTCTTCTTCTTGGTGACATTGAATGCCCAGGCCAAAGAACCCATGATTGTGACCAGCTGGTAGTCTACAATCTCCATACCCAAGCAATTGCGACGACCATAACCAAAGACGTGGTGGTTGATGACGTTGGGGTACTTCGTCAGAGGCTCCTTGTAAGTGGGATATCTCGGGTTCAGATAGCGATCTGGATTGAACTCTTCCGGGTTGGGGTACAAAGATTCGTCACTCCGACGCGCCCACTCGGTAGCATGGATGAGCGCACCCTTCGGGATGAAGTAGCCATCGTATTCATCATCTCTCTCAGCTTCGTGGGGAACGCCCGTAGGGACTGGCGGTCTCCAGCGGATCAGCTCTTTGCCGATCGCTCTCAGTACCGGAAGCTTCGGTGCGTCGGCCCATGTGGGTAGACGGTCGGGGCCGCAAACCTCATCGATCTCGTCTTGTAGTCGCTTCTGCCAATGGGGGTAGTGGCACATAGCGAGGTAGTAGGTCTGGATGGGCGAAGACATGGGTAGTGATGCTGTGATAGCAAGCATGCCTATCGCGAAAGCACCCTCCTTCTCGTCTGGGGAGCCATCGGGGAACTTCAAGCGCTCCTTGTCCTTGAAGAACGTGCGAGACCAGGAATGACCGGGGATACCAGCGTCCATCTTGGCTTTGACGGATTGCATGGCCCCGACCCAGAATTCCCTTTGAGCATCATGGCGCGCCTTTTCCTGCCAATACCAAGGGTTGATCAAGTCAGGCAACTTCTGCACGACTGGAAACCTGTTCGGTAGCTTCCCTGCCGGAGAGATGGCAGCAAGTAGACCAGCCGAGCTTCGGTTCAACCCACGGCTTAGCTTGGGGTCTTCCCAGGCGAGGCGCGCGCTCACACGATGGGTGAACTCTTCAGCGAGATCGGGATAGTTTCGGTTGTCCTTCATCAGCGAAACCATCATCCGCGTGATCTCGAGGTGCGTGAAGCCGAACATGTCGTAATTGTAGGTCTCGGACAGGCATTGGTGAGCGAATTTACGGTGTCTTGTAAGTGCCGCTGCGTGATCGATCAGCGACATTCGAAAATGATTCAAGTAATACTCACCATTGTTGTCCAAAAGAGGGAGATACTCCGCGTCGGTTTTGGCGCCTGGGATGTTGGGTGTGGGCGCGCGGTTGGAATAGTATGCTCCACGCCTTGCGAGAAGATCCTGGCACACCTTCTCGCTGTTGACACGGATGTGTTTGACACCGAAGAGAGTGAACTGGTAGATTGGACCATATTCTTCGTGCTGTACCGAGTTAATTACATCGTCAGAAGCCTAGATAGTGACCGTACCCATTCAGCAAACTTCTTGTACACATCCTTGGAAGGGAACTTGTGGAAAGGCCCGACCCATGGTAGACCTTTATAGCACTGTCAGCAAGCACCTTTTCTTCAGACGATGAATACTGACCTTTGGGGCCCGGCAGCGGCTTGTACTTGGGCTTTTTCGGCCTGAACAGACGGACGACGGCTAGAAGAAAAGCGCCTATGACACTGATGGCGATGCTAGGAACGAAGAGAGAAAGCATGGCTTGCGAGAGCGGTTGAACTCCCACGTCAATCATAATTGCTAGAGTCAACGAAAGACAGCTGAATGAAATGTCGAACTGATACCAACCTTGGGCCAGTCCACGGAGCTTTTAACTACGGTCCTCATGGTTTTCAGGCCAACTCTACCATCGCCTCAACTCCGGATTTGCGTATCTTCATCGCACTCATCCTCTCGGACCTGCCTCGGTGCCATGTCTCGCGAACACCATCAGCATACTGTGGCTTGATTGATACACAACGCGCATGCATCATCCCGAAGCTCAGTTCCCCTTGAGAACGGTACTGCGGTCGCCGACCGCCGATCGGATGGCATTGTGGAGGTGGAGAGCCGTATTACAGCCAGAGGCCCATCGTATTTTGGAGCTTTGTCTCACGTTCGGTGTGGCAGTCGAAGGGTAAGGGACATGGTTCGTCTTGTCAGTCCGGAGCTAGGTGAAGTGGGCCACCACGTGCGCTCCACGCTAACGGTCTTGGCAAACTCCAACCATCGCATGCTCAGGGTCTCCCACATCCCATCTGTTCCCACCCACCACGACGCATCATGTCTCGGCCTATACAGCGACTTTCTAGCCTCCGAATACGCTCTCCTCCGGCCACACACTGGCACGACATCCATAGTGGCTACGAAAATTTCGCAGCGGGAGTCCGCTAGACAATAAGCTCTAAAATCGCCGAGCGCGAAACCATCATTGATAACGCGATCCCGTCCCGTCGCCACGGACCTCCGCCGTACACTGGACGCAGCTTCCACAGACGTTGATTCGCGTAGCACGCATCTTCATGTCTCAATACAATCAGGCAGCGGTGGGATGGGCAAAGCAGATGACAGCTGTGTTGCGCGCTGAAGCTTGACCCTGTACCCACTGTGCTGGAGCTGGAAGCAGCCGCTTGCATGAACAGTATAGGGAACTCGACGTTAGTTCGGGATCCAGGTCCAGGTTACTAACAGTGGGTGAAGCGTTCAGCTAGATTACTGCTCGAGAATCTCAGACGGCCGCTCTTCGCGCTGCATTGTACGCATTTGGGGTTGATGAGGCGTTGCCGCTCAGACATAGCCCTTCATCCTTCCAATGCCTTGAATTGTCATTTTCTAGAATTGGCCCGAAGCAAGGCCCGAGTTGCGATTGAAGAGCTTATAAACCAGAAGCACCACGTTCTCTCGTGATACAATCATTGCTACCTTCATCCTTGTTACACGTGCATTGCATTGCTAGCGTTTAGCTGCACCGTCCCGTCGCTATGGATCTCTTGGCATCGTTTGTCTTAATCTCATCCGCTCTTGCACGACAGGTGGTTGCGATCACTACACAGCAGATCCAGACCGACTTGTCCTCCAATCTCTCTAATGAATCACAAATCATTTTTACTACCGACTCTTCTTATCCGACTGATTTCACTCAACGATGGAGCATCTATGAGAAGGCCGAGCCAGCTTATGCTGTTGCTGCCAAACCCGCTACAACGAAAGACGTACAGACGATCTTGCGATATGCAACTAAAAACAAGATCCCTTTCCTGGCAACTGGAGGTGGCCATGGGTACTCGACGACTCTTTCTGGCCTACACAATGCGCTCGATGTTGACCTAAGCAACTTCAAGAGAATCAAAGTCGACGCGTCCACCAACACCATGGTCGTTGGGGCCGGTTCAAAGTTCCATGACATGTTTGATCCGCTGTATGCGGCTGGTAAGATGATGCGTAAGTTTCCGACATATTCAACATCCTTGTGTACTGACAAAGCCTCCAGCTTCTGGTGGGACTTCTCCTCCAAGCATCATCGGCCTCACGTTGGGTGGTGGAGTGGGACCTTTGACTGGCGAACACGGACTCTTAATCGACTCTCTACTCTCTGTGGAGATGGTCACCGGATCGGGCGAGATTCTAACGGCGTCGGCTACTGAGAACTCCGACCTCTTCTGGGGCATGCGTGGTGCGGGCTTCAACTTCGGCGTGGTCACATCCGCGACCTATCGCATCTATGATACAATCAATGATGGCATGGTGTACAACGCAGACATGTCATTCGAAGCCGAGAAGAACGCCACGATATTTGAAATCTTCCAGACTTATCAGGGCACGCAAGACGACAAGCTGGCATTAACGATTGGGTCCTCCATAAAGAACAATGTCGTAAGTGCTAGCTGCGTCTGGTCGGATATTTGACCTCCATTAACACATTGTTAAGCCAACAATCGATGTTTCGGCCATCTACTACGGCAACAAGCTGCAGGGCGACGCCGCGATCAAGTCGTTCATCAACCAAAATCCATATTACAGCAACATTTCGGTCGTTCCCTACAACCGACTAGTAAGCGTGGCCAACTTTGGCGGCGATGTATTCGCTCAGCGAAAGGGTGTTGGGGCGGACATGTGGGGGTTTCAGCTCAACAATCTCACTGTACCTGCACTGGTGGACACATTCACCAAGTACATCAACTTCCTCCGTGCGAACCCGGCAATAGAAAATACCAACTGGATTATCGAGAAATTTGGCCTGGGCGTAACGGCGAGTATCGACGATGACTATACAGCATATGCTTGGCGCAAGACTGTAGCCTACGGCTTCTTCGCGTTTTACCTACCTGGCAATGTCACTGCGGAGCAGACCAGCACCGTCGACACGTTTACCGCGAAGATGCGCACCAACTTGATGACAGCATGCGGAAACCCCGATGGCAATGTGTTTCCCAACTACGCACGGGGCGACGAGAAGCCGGAGCAAGTCTACGGCGCGACGAAACTTCCGAGGCTGAGGCTGCTGAAGAAGAAGTATGACCCGGAGGGGTTGTTTAACCACTTCAACTCTTTCGTATAATGCTCCATTGCGCCACAGTTAGGGCTACGTGCTATTGCCATTCTCAGCTTTGTTCTCGGCCTCGTCAGTATTCTCAGTCCCATCGAGCTGTACATAATCTATGGTTCTATCAAACATCGTATCCATCATTTTTTAATCATTAGCACGTGTCTTGCTACGACTAAACATCGAAGTTCCGTGATGCGATGAAAAGGTTTGGCACGAGAGTTGAACTGACAGCTGCCGATTTATAGGAGGCCACTTTGTTCGAACTGTATGAACAGCCGCTGTCTCCAATCAAACAAAACCGCCAAATAACTGAAGCCTACAGTAGTTCTCTCGGTGAGAATTGAGGGCGAAAGGCAAAACAACGTACATCGAAGCCCGAGAAGATGTATCAACGATCTTCGACAACCGAAAAGTTCAGATCGAGCACTAGCCACTTTTGTTACGGCTGTAAACGAGAAGAAAGAGACAACGGGTGATGAGAATGTAGAGAAAAGTGGCATGGATGACTCCAGAGGCGACACGTCCTACGTGTTTAATTGATAATGACATGAGTGTATATCATGCTCACTACATTACTCGGTGCTCGGGAAAGAAATTGGACATTTCATCTGCGCAGAATCGACATGTCGCCAGCTAATAGTCACGCCAATCATTCCACTACCTTCGATGTCTTTCACGCATCTTCAACGCAGAGCTCGTTGATATGCTCTCGCCTCCGTAACGCCAGCTCAACACGCCTGCATCTGGCTGCCGAAACATACCTGCCACATCAATACCAGCTCACTCGGCATTACCCGTCCCCAATCATCTTCCTCCGTGTGCTTGTCTCTAGACCAGAATAGCAGCAGCATTGCAAGCCACGAACCCAGCATAAAGCACGATCCTCACACGGTTCAGGTAGCCCCAGTAGGCGATCTTATCGTGATCCTACAACACGGCATTAGAATCTCTCGCATCTCGCCTTTACAAGCAACACGGAAGACATAGGAAACTCACCCTCGCAGTTTGCATCCCCCTGCCCTTCTCTGGTAGATCCGCGTAATGCAAATCTTTCTGCGCTTTGAACTTCTCAATCAATACGTCATTCACCGGGTTCATGTAGTGAAGCGTGAATGGGAAGATCAGGAACGCCAACACACTACTAACGCCGTAGATGATGGTCGCCTTTCCCGTAAGTCCCTGTCTAGTAGAGGAACCGTATGTCATGATGGCGGACAAGACAAGGTTGGATGCCGAGAGTGAAGTAGCAGGGACTTGTGCAACGCGGAACTGGTAGTGCCATTGCCGAATTGCGAGAATTGGAGAAGGAGATTCGAGGATGGATGGGATTGAGATAGTGGACAAGGCTGTGTTCATGCCGAGGAGAAAGGTGGCTTGGAGCAGGGTGCCGAATTGGAGGTGGGCAAAGGACAACATCTTGGACGAGGATTACAAGACTTGGGGATGCGAATAGCAGATAGTGGTTTATGGAAACACAATGAGAGACGATAATGATATCTTTGATGATGGTGGTGTTGACGCGATAGAGACGAGGTACCTGCTTATATCTCAATCGCACCTTCTCTATATCTCTCCACCAACGCCCATCGCTCTTCCTCCGCAAACAACACCGAACTCCATCCACGCACCTCGTCTCCTCCTCATCGCAGCTCCTACGCCGGCTCTCCAACTGTCGGCACCTATGAACCTCGGATTTGCAGCACGTAGATTCTCTAACAAGTAAGCAAGAATCCTACGATCGCACGTCCGAGTTCCTGCTAAACCGGTGAACCGCGTTACCAAGCCCAACCACCACAAGGCTGCTTCTTCACACGAACACGGACAAGAACCGCGCTAAGGCTGAAACTGAATTCGGGCCGTTCTCAGCTGAGTAACTCGCGAGCAAAAACCTAAATTCCAAGATGATGGGACGCCTGATCCGATGCGTCCAAGGTCGCTTCGACCCGACATAACACGCTAGTCCGGAGTTCCGTACAAAGTTTACAAACAAACGTTCACCACGCCGCATCCTTCCAGGAGAATGTCGCCAGCGAGAAGGCAGGAGTGCGCTGTTCGCGCGCAATACCGGACACCGAGATGACTAATTCCCATTGTGCGTGCGCCGTTCTTGTGCGTTCCTTGACGTCAGTTATTTTTGTTGGATCGTGAAGTGCTTACTTCTGCCTTCGTATTTCCTCTTCATATCAACTGTCAGAGCGTCGAGATTGCCGGCCTGACTTGAAATACGCGCGCGAAAGACGAAAGACTACCATCTCACATCACCTCCCACGACCCCACTCTACTCTCCACTAAGCATTTCCCCTTCGCGGTATAGCTGCTCCAGCGCGACATCCACCAATCATGTCTTCATTCCCTGCCTTCCTCAAGTCGCAGCTCCTCTACACACCCAAGGTACCTCAGCCGGAGACCTTCACCGGCAAGACCGTCATCGTAACAGGCGCTAACAGCGGACTCGGCCTGGAAGCAACACGACACTTTGTCCGCTGCGGCGCGACTACAGTCATCATCGCATGCCGCACGCGATCCAAGGGTGAAGCCGCTCAACGCGATATCGAGGCCACGACGAAGCGCACCGGCGTACTCCAAGTGTGGGAACTGGATCTCTCTTCGTACGCTAGCGTCAATGCGTTTGCGAAGAAATGCGAGACACTACCTTGCATTGATATCGTGTTGGAGAATGCAGGTATCGCACAGGGCAAACTTGAGAGGATTGAGGGACATGAAGCGCACATCGCCGTCAATGTGATCTCTACCTTCATGCTTGCGTTGCTGCTGCTCCCTGTTCTGCGAAGAACAGCGGAAATACACAAGACGAAGCCGTACCTCACCATCGTCACATCCGAAGTCCACCACTGGACGCAGTTCCCACAAAAGAAGGCAGACAGCATCTTCGCCGAGCTGGACGACGAGAAGAAAGCCGACATGGCAGATCGCTACAACGTCTCCAAGCTCATGCAGATACTCCTCGTGCGACACTTGACCCGAGTCATCATCAAGGACAAGAAGAAGGAACCCGTTGTCATCAATTGCGTGACGCCTGGTCTTTGCAAGTCGGATCTGGTCAAGGATATGGGTATGGCGCCGGTGGTGTTCAAGAAGGTCTTGGGTCGCCAGGTCGAGGTGGGCAGTCGGTTGCTGGTGAATGCGACTGCGTTGCCGGAGAGTCAGGGCGAGTATATCCTTGATGATCATGTGGAGGAGCCGTCGCCGCTGGCGAGGAGTCAAGAGGGTGCGGAGCTGGGGAAGAGGATATGGGATGAGTTGGCTGGGATATTGGAGAAGGCAAGTCCTGGTATTACTCAGAATCTGTGAAGCTCAGTTTGAGGTTGTGGCTCTTCTTCGCATGATGCACTGGTAGTTGGAGTCGTGGGACTTAGATAATGTGTAAGCCTTCCATTAGTCAACCAAATGAATCTGGGTGTTCTACGCGCTGTATCGTACATGAGAGGGACGTTGAAGTACACATTGACTTAAGCCTTGTTGAAGCGTGGACGTGATCGCGGTGAAACTCATCGGGGTATTCTATCGTTACAACGACACAGCCAAGACGAGACAAGCTTCTTCGTCAACGGCAGCCAAGTGATGTTCCTGACAATCCTGTTCTATCGATATCTCATACCTGCTTTTGAACGCCTGCGCCCGGTTTTCATGATCATAAACACCATCAACACCATCTAGTCAAGAAGTAACGAGCTTTCTCGATGACGTTGCGTGAACAATGTGTAGGATGACTCTCAAGTTTGCTGATGCAGTATTGTAAGCTGTTGTTCCCCTCCAGAATGGGTAACCGTCTCTTGTCGTCGAGCGTGACAACCGGTGTGCCAGTAGTAGTGTTGAGGAAGCATTCTTCCTCCGAGGGCAATAGGGCATCAATGCCACACTCCACCGCCGCCGATGAGGAGGTTCGGTCCCAAGATCGGAGAGACCAACAAGACATGGCCGCACGATACAAAGCTACCGGCCACCAGGTTGGCCGTGCGTCCATGGTCGATCTGTCGATCAATCTGAAGATTTGGCCGGCATGGAACAGCACGTATCTCTCTCCTTCGGGATGACGTGCCCACCGCCACATGTCCGCACGGGCCGTGTCTGACATGGGCGGGTCTTCCTTGGCGCATTTCTCAATCTCGGGGATGCTGGTGAAAACGTTCAGGCTAACCAGATGGAGCATTATCATGCTGACACAGTCGGTGGGGGTTACTTCACCCTCGTCTTCCTTGCTGGAAGAAGCTTTTGACCGTGAGAGAAGCGTTGCCAGATCTTGGAGCAAGTCTTGCGTCTCCTGCAGGCGGCCTAAGATCTTGATCTTAGAAAGCACCCGGTATCGATTCGAAGGTTCGTCGGCGTCGAAAATGCGCAGAAGTTGCTGTTGCTCGAGCACCATGGCCAGAATGGGGTGCAGAAGCAGACGAAGGTGGTGTAAGGGTACGTCATCACCGACTGCCAGCCGACCCTGGAGGAAACTTCGAAAGAGGCCGTTGAGGGATGGAGTTGAGTGCCCAGAGCGGGGTCCAACAGAACCCTGTTTCTCAAGCCAGGCACCAAACTTTGCGGCATTGCAGGGTCCTGGTTTGTTGCCGTTGGCGCCAGAATGCTCGAGCCACTCATTGTATGAGTTGGCATGCCACATCTCGTTGTCTTGCGGCAGGGGCACTTGTAGGTCGTTGATCGAGAGAATTGGTGGTAGGTCGTGCAACAAGCTGATCTCAAGGTCTACGTAGACCCAGGCATATGCGTGACTAGAAATGTTAGTCGAACGTCGGGGGGTAGTGTGAGATGTAGCTTACCGATTGCGCTGCTCTTGCTCTTTCCATCTTTCCCACATCTCTGCTCCTTCCGCTCTTGGATTGTGCACCGTCTGTTCAGGCTGTAATACGCCAGTGCATTTCAGCATCTGTCGAAGTTGGTCCAGGTTCCCAGCGCACGCATAAGGTTGATGACTTACACTAAGATATTGCCCTCTTTTCGACATGGCATACGCAGCAAAAGAGTCTTTACCACTCCGTGCGCAGAGTGTAAGCAACTGCAGTGCAATCCCTCCGATCATTGGTTGCGATATGCTGCGGCTCTCGAGAACGTCGTCCAATGCAATCCTGCATATTTCTATTAAGCCGTTGGCGAGTACGTGGGATTCGAAATGATCTGTAAGCATAGCACCTTGGGAGATGAGAAGTATGATGAGTAGAATCCCGACATCGGCCTTGTCGACTTGTAGAATGTCTGTGATGTTGATGCTTGAGGAGCCAGCGAGACCCAGATAGGGCTGAATGGAGTCGATGCGGTTTGCGTACGTTTCGATAAAGTGCATAAGAACGTTGGAGGGTGGGAGGACTACGATGCGTCCAAAGAGGCCTTGACTTGATGTTGAAGGAGATTGTCGGCTCCAGAGTGCCCGTTGCAAGAGTATCTGTACAGTTGCGACAATCCGGTCTCTCGCATCGTGTGTGAGAGACTGGCTGGGTTCGCTGTCGTTCTCCGCAAGCCCTTGCCATGCGGTAGGCTGTGCGAGTACATCCACCATCTGCGCGAGTACATCATCCGATGTCGCAAATTGGTGCACAGCTTTCTGTGGATACTGCTTTGGTGTAAAAGCGTTTCGTAAGCCTGGCGAACTCGCTGGTATGCTTGTGCTCCCTCGATGTATCGTATCAGGTGGTGTTAACGGCTGGTTTGGCCCATGTAACAGGTTATGGTGTTGTTGTTGAAGCCCTTGACCGCCGCCTACACAGCCTGGCGGATACAAGGGATCGCTAGGGTGAACATCCATCGATGATATGGAAGCGAAGAGATTGTTTGAGGTGTCCATAGCTTCGCTGTTAGCTGGAGCACCGGGATATGGGAAGCTCATAAAGTCGTCGTAACCACCAAGATCCAGAGATGATGTGGGTAAAGCCGAATTGGCGAATGCAAGCATGTCGCTATTCTGTGGTGGTTGATTCTCTGGCACCATATAGCCAGTAAATTGATCCATGTTCGGCACATGGTTGCCGTTAGAATAGTTGGTGTTTGTCGGGCTTGTTGACGCTTGACTCCGTGCCGTCGATTTTCGAGGCGCTCGCGGCTTACGCGAGGTAGTTCTAGGCTGACAAACATAGCCTCTTGCAACGCATTGTGAGCATGGTACCTGTGTTTCTATTAGATATTGCACTGATGGCTCAGTAAGTGCACTCTGGCTAGGTACTCACCTTCCTGTCGCACCGTGCCTTAGAGATGGCACATCTGGTGCAGGCAATCAGGCCGGGGTGACTCATTGAAAGTGTGATGTGATTGGGAGGTCTAGTCGATGTACCGATGATTACGAGGTATGTTGGAGGCGTACTCAGGTACTATGTACGGGATGTAAGCGGGTATATGTGCGTTCCCCAAGCTAAGCTCATACGAGACGGTACCCATATATACCCCTCCTTGGCACTTGATGACAGGATGCAGCTGAGCTCGAAGACAGCCCTGGAGTGCGGTGACGCGTGAAGATCTTCAGCGACACACTTCAAAGTCGCCAAAATTATCCCGAGGGACAACTTTGATGGCTAGCGCGAAACGACAGGACGCATCAGTCCAATTTGAGGACGCATGCTCCTCTTCGCAGGCTCAAGGCTATGCATGTTTGTTGCGGCGGGTTAGGCCGCTACTGCCAGGTTCAGGCGATAAGAGCCAAGTGGGGCAAGGGTTTGGGGGCTGTAAACCTACGCCAGTCTCGCCTCGCAAGACGATGCCGAATTGACTTTCCAGCCTCACCGCACCGCTGCTCGCTGTTGTGGGCCAGTCAAGCATAGCAAACGCCATTCCCACGAGGCCGCGTGGTGGAGCCGCAAAGCTAAGCACTTGCCAAAAGGGACCTACTTTATGTAAGCTGGGCTGACCCTGCACGAGGCGTGGCAATATTCGTGAGACACTGACGAAGCTGGAATTTAGTAGGCGCACAGGCAGCAACAAGATCCTTTTTGAGCGTCTTCTACTCTCGTTACTTGGCCGGTTGTCGCAAGAATGAGTCCAACGCCTGGTACCTGTAAGCACTACTTACGCCGCGCATTGGACTGTGCCCAAGTAATGTTGCATCGTTTCTCTTTCCTGTACGACCCTCTGAAGTCAGATAACTTGGCCAGCTGCAACATGATCGTATACACGAGCAATGATGAGCCATAAGGTGTGTTAGCAGCTCGATCTGGTCCCCGAAATCCGTCCTTGGCCCTCTTCTCACGATAAGCAGGTCCAAATGTAGTGAGACACTGGCTTTCGCACTTGATGGCTAAGATCATGTAGCTGAGAACATGTCGCTGCGACATGTGCACACAGACTCGGCCCTCCCGGAGACGCGACCTGGGTTCGGGCCTTCCCGTAGATACGATGCAGCAACCCCAGCACCGCAGCATCAGGCGCTGCAGTCGAGATGAATAACTGCGTGGCCACACATGCTGGCGCTCCTTGTCTAGAGGCGACTCCGCTTGTAGGTCGCGCTTTCAAATGTGTATACAACTGAGTAGCGACAGCTGCAAGCATATGGGTGCTGTGTGTAGATGGGTTTACTGAACACTGGAAGTCGACCTTAACAGCAAAGCTGCATACTACACCAGCAAGACCGAGTATGAACCGCCCTTGTCTCTGAATGACATTACTGCAGACGCCGTGTTGTAATAACCCGGCGGTCCACGAAGCCAGCCCCGATCTACTCTGGAGTCTGGGAGTGCCGCGGCTGAATGATAGGATGAATGATTCGTCGGCACAGGGGATGTTGACAAAGCCGATCATGCCGAGCAGTTCATGGGGGAGAGCCGTCGCGTATTGCGGATCTAGAAGAGGCCCGACTAACTGCTGGTCGGACGGCTGGCCTCAGCTTTCCATCCAGACCCGGGACTTAGTGCTCGAACACCTTGATCGTCGTTAATAGTAGCCTTGCGTCTTTTCTGGTGCCAGATCCATCCTCTTAGATGCAGATTCCTGACGTGGATCAGACTGTGCCGGATTGCTCCATGGGGTTGGTATCGGAAGCTACTGTGATGCTCGGCCGAGTTGAGCATCCGTCATTTAGTCCAATCAATGACGACAAATAGGAGTGTCCCTAAAGTAAGCCATTGTTTATAACTCGACCTAGAGATGTGGAAGACAAGAGGTCTCCCATTTCGATAGGCTACCGGTCAGCTCAACGCACCAGTCATGGTAGATACATCGGGGTCGCCGCGTCCATCTTGTATAGCTTGACCAATGGGTGCTAACACTCTTGAACGTGCTGGTGCAGAGGCGCAATCGCTGAGAGCAAAACTCAACCTGATGTGAGCGGGAACACTTGCGAACAACGTCAGGACGTTAGTCCCATGGAAACACACGTGATTCATCGTAGTACGGTCATCATCAGGAAGACTTGATCCCGACCTGGTCTTCGGAAAGCCAATTGTTGCGATGTTCCCGTTGCGAAATTCTTCATTCCTTACAGCGTCTTGGGATTGCTCTCTTGGCAGATTGGCCAAATAGCTCATAGTCTGGATTATATAGGCAAGTCAGATGGATCGTGACTTTTGTCAGCTCCTGAACGTTGATTTGTCTCGACAGCCGCGAGCTGTTCAATCAGCCAAGACAGACACTGAACACGCGACGTTGTGCCGGGAAGCAAGCCTAGTCCCATCGTGAGTTGCGCGATTTATACAGTGCTCAAACCATACGAGCGGTTCGTGGCGCATGACTGATTGAGAAGACGGTGTTGCTCGTATGCAGCGTATACATGCAGGGGCGTTATCGACGATGATTCTGGGTTATCCTTGGAAGCACATAACAGCGCATCCGACGTTGGCGGCTACGAGCAGCCTTCCCCGAATAGTAGAGCCGATGAGATAGACTGATCTGAAGGACGCAGCATCAGGGGCGTAAGAGATTCGGTCCGGCCCCTGCAGTGATATCAAATGGGCCGCTTCCGCCTGTAGTGTACAGTAGCGTAGTAGTAAAGCTCAGCCTCCGCATCTTGATACACGTTCCATGAACGCCATGAACGTATTATCGAGGGATCCAAGGCCGCCAAACTGGTGTGCGATACGACTGGTGGTTGTCAGGGTGGGGTTGAAGATGGAGAAAGCGCGTTCACCAGCAGCGGCAAGTGGGGAAACCTGAATGCCAAGCTTTCCATCGCGGACCAACAGCGGAGTTACGACAAATCAACAACTTCTGAAGCAAGACCTGGTAACTGTTCAGCTGGGATGCAGGCACGATATTGTCAAGGTAGGTCATTACATTGTTCCATGTTGATCGTTACTCAACGCCCCCATCTAGATCCGTTTTGGCGCGCTGCTAAAGTACATTGAAGGTCAATCGAGAAGCGGAGAGCTGGGGTATGTCCAACACAATTATGTTACAAGGAAGACTTCGGGGGAATCTGCCCCGGAAGACGCTCGCCTCTTCTTCGGGCCCATTGAGTTTGATTAATTTACTCAAGAACACGCGTTACCAGACCAGTAGCGACAGTTCGGCCACCCTCGCGCATGTTGAACCGTTGGCCAGTCTCTAGGACGTGGGGCTGGTGGAGTTCGCAGACCATCTCGACGTTGTCACCAGGCATGACCTGCTTGTCGTGGGCATCCTCGGTGCCCTCTGGCCAGTGAAGCGCGCATGACTCGTCAGCGGTTCGGATGAACATTTGTGGCCTGTAGTTCTCGCCGAAACCAGTGTGACGACCACCTTCCTCCTTGCTCAGGACGTACATGGAGACGAGGAACTTCTTGTGAGCCTTGACCTGTCCGGGTACGGAAACAACCATGCCGCGGCGGACATCATCACGCTTGACTCCACGGAGGAGAAGACCGGAGTTGTCACCTGCGCGCGACTCCTCGCACGACTTCTTGAAGGTCTCAATGTCGGTAACCTTGGTCTTGATGGGAGCAGTACCCTTGCCCACAAGCTCGACTTCGGCATCGCGCTTCAGGATACCGCGCTCGACACGGCCAGAAACGACGGTACCGCGACCGGCGATGGAGAAGACATCCTCAACAGCCATGAGGAAGGGCTTCTCGGTCTCACGCTGGGGGGTGGGGATCCATGCATCGACAGCCTCCAAAAGCTCATCGACCTTGGTGACACCAATCTCAGGCTGGCGGCCCTCGATGGCGCAGAGAGCGGAACCCATGATGATGGGCGTCTCGTCACCCTCGAAGCCGTAGCTGCTGAGGAGCTCACGCATCTCCATCTCGACGAGCTCCAACATCTCCTTGTCGTCGACAGCATCGACCTTGTTCACGAAGACAACAATCTTCTGGACACCGACCTGGCGGGCGAGGAGCAAGTGCTCACGGGTCTGGGGCATTTGACCGTCGGAGGCGGCGACGACAATGATAGCACCGTCCATGTTGGCAGCTCCAGTAATCATGTTCTTGATGTAATCGGCGTGACCGGGGCAGTCGACGTGGGCATAGTGGCGGTTGTCGGTCTGGTACTCGATGTGGGCGGTCGAGATGGTAATACCACGCTTTCGCTCTTCGGGGGCCTTGTCGATGGAACCGTATTCGAGGTACTTGGCGTAGCCCTTCTCTGCTTGACGCTTGGTGATGGCGGCTGTGAGGGTAGTCTATAGCGTATCAGTCGTCATGAACGTGGGAGGCGGGGCGAGAGGCGTTGTACCTTTCCGTGGTCAACGTGGCCAATGGTACCTGATGTCTATTAGCATGACCACAGGTATGGTATCTGGGAAAGCATACCGATGTTGACGTGGGGCTTGTCTCGTGTGAAAGAGGCGTAGTTCCGTACGCCGTTCATCCACCTCATCGTGCCCTGCGCGCCCAAAGCATTTTGCACGGGCGACACATTACGCTGGTATTGGAGGGCGGAGCGCGAGGTGCGCAGGAAAACTCTGGAAAAGCTCGACATGATTGACCCGATCACACGATGCAGAGAAGCGAGGGGATGCGATTGCTTGAGATGGCGGTGGTGTCTCGAGATGGCGAGGCTCAAATCATTTTCTTAGCGCGACATGGTAGCGCATCGGCCAATCATGTGAGGGGGAGATCCGAGCTCGACAACTTTGAGAAGGAGCGATGGAGCACTGCGGGCGGAGAACATTTCCCGGTGACGTTGTATCATTCTCTATTCAGCGTTTCTTTAGAGAATCTACCGTGTCTTTCATTACCTCAAAACCCATCAATTGACGTTGGTGACGCTTACTCCAATCGATACGCCTACGCGAATACCCGAGGTTCGTTCGGCGGAAACTGTGAAAGTTGCATCATTGGCGCGCATTTCACCTACACCACCATGTCTCTCCGCACATTAACAAGGACGCCGCTGAGCAGCGTCTCACGGATAAGCACGATAAATACCATGCCATTGCGCGCCAAGGTCACAAATCCCGCCTGGATGAGCGGGTCGAGAAAGGTACAGCACCCCTCCAGCCCACCACGCCTTCACACCTAACAATCGCGTAGTATGCCACACCCACCGCAGACCTCCTGAAAGCGCAGCAAGACGACGACCCCGACGATGTCATCTTCACCAACAACTACGGCGTCCGCAGCATCGAGCTCAACCGACCGAAGAAGCTGAACTCGCTCAATGGCTCCATGGCCCGCAAGATCATACCGAGGTTGCAGGAATGGGCAAAGTCAGAACTGGCAGGTGTCGTCATCATCAAGGGCAACGGTCGCGCCTTCTGCGCCGGAGGAGATGTCGCAGCACTGGCAAAGTGGAATAAGGAAGGGCCCCAGGGACAGCAAAGCAGTTCAGACTACTTTGGGCTGGAATACAAGCTGGATCACCTCATCGCAACCTACTCGAAACCCTACGTCGCTTTCATGGACGGTATCACAATGGGTGGTGGTGTTGGACTTTCGATACACGCTCCCTTCCGAATCGCAACCGAGAACACCCTCTTCGCTATGCCCGAGACGACCATCGGCTTCTTCCCAGACGTTGGCGCGTCCTTTTTCCTGCCTCGCATGGAAGGCGCTCTCGGCACCTACCTCGCCCTTACATCCGAACAACTCAAGGGCGTCGATGCCTTCTACCACGGCATCGCGACCCACTACATCCACTCCTCCACGCTCCAGCAACTCGAGGCGCGTCTTGCCGAACTACAATTCCCCGACTACATGAAGCTCGACGAGCGCTTCAAGATCATCAACTCTACAATCGAGGAGTTCAGCACTGGACTACCCGCCGAGCGACCGCACATCTCCGGTGAACTTCGCAAGGTTATCGACACCGTCTTCCACGAGGACATGCCTAGCATCCAGAACATTTTGGCATCGCTTGAGGACGTCAAGAAGGGGCACAAAGATTCAGAGATCCAGACATGGGCCGACAAGACTATCCAGACCATCCACAGCCGGTCACCCACCTCCGTCGCCGTAGCCCTCCGTCAGATGCGCGTCGGCCGCCAATGGTCCATGGCGCAAACCTTCCAAAAGGAATACGACATCGCCTCTCGCTTCATGGCCCACCCCGATTTTGTCGAGGGCGTAACCGCGCGCCTTGTAGAGCGCAAGAAGGAGCGACCAAACTGGAAACCCAACACCCTCGATGACGTCAAGAACCGCGACGTTGATGCTTTCTTCCGAGACAGTAGCGAAGGACCATTACCTCTGATTAGCGACAAGGACTACCGAGAGTACCCGCACGCGTGGATCGGGCTACCCCGCGAGTCAGAGATTTTGAGAGAAGCTGGTGGTAACAAGAGGGAGGATGTTGTTGCTAAGCTTTTGGAGAAGTATGAGGGCAAGCAGGGAGTCCGGGAAAAGATTGCGGAAGTACTGGAGAGATATGAATAGGAGATTGGATATGTAGTCTTCAGATGTTTACGTGTAGTATAAAGCCGCTTACCGCTATCTGAGGCGAATCTACTTTTCGAACGTACAAGACTATCTTTTTATTACAGATCACGAAGTCGGAAAGCCGCCGTCTAACGTAGCAGGACCCTATTTCATACACCGTCAGCAAAAGCGAAATCGTCACAAACACACATGTGTCAACACGTACCATTCGCACCAAATTGCGATTGATGATCTTCCAGCTACCATCCCTCTGCTTCGCCCACGTATCCTGATACTGAGCCTTATCAATCAGAACCTTACTGTTATCCACAGGGTTCTGAACGCCAGTATACGGCGTAAACCAATGCGTAGCCTGAAAGTACGTAACAGACACAGCGCTTTTAGGACCGCAAATATGAATCATCTGCGTGCCAAGATGATGCTGGGTAGATACGAAAGTGCTTAGACCGGGTGCTAGGTTGTCGATGATGGCTTGGACACCGTTTAATACGCCGATGGGATCCGAGTAGTTAGCGCGGGCATCGGTGGTGAAGACTTTTCGGAGGATGTCGTAGTTGCGGCCGTCGATGGCGAGGGCATAGAGGGATAGCGTCTGGCGGATAGATTCTGTTGCGACTGGGTCTGGGTGGGCTTGGAGGGGGAATAGGCCTGCTACATCGCTGAAACTAACTGGCCCGGGGGATATATCGGGGCAGCTGGTGTTCGTATTGCGGGCTATGATTGAGGCGCTGGCACTGTCTTGAGCGGAAACAAAAGGCAGGGCGAGCAGAGCCGCAATGCGTAGTGGGAATGCGATGCGCATGTTCATGCAGGTACGGAGCAAGGATATGAGTGTGGGATGGGTGTAGTTTAGAAGAATGAGGGCGTGATTTGGAGTCAGAATTGACTAGCCAATTGCAACCTTCGGGTTTGGAACAAACATTCAATGGTTGTAGTTGATATGTAGGTATTGGTTCTCGGGAGATTGGGACGGGTGGCGGGCGGATACTCTGACGAGCAGCCGAGCCGTTCCCGGGATACATGCTGAATGGATGTTTGTAAGTGCAGTCCGAGCTATGCGTCAAGGCCAGAAGATTGGAGCAGAGAATGTGAAGTCGTTGAGATAATTTAATTATGCTGTATTACTACGCTAACACAATTCGGTTCGTATGGACGTGTCTTGCCGGCGCTCAATTGCGAGGATCTCTTGTCCTCTGGATCATCGATGTTGTTGAAGTTGCGAGAAGCGCGTCTCACTCCGGGCCATCATGGTGCCATCTGGTAGGAACATGTCCCGCTTCGGTCATTGAATTAGATGTCAGTGGAGTCAGATGTTTGCTCAATGGAGTGGACGGCAAGGTGGAAGCGACGTTCATGTGGGCCGTTCCTTGGCGGCATGATTGGCGGGGTACAACGATCAGGGCACCTTGTACAAGGAAGGCGCTGAACAGGTCTGCAGCCTACGTTAAGATGAAGACATACAAAGTAGACAACCCAACATTGAAGTAGTATTCGAGATGTCCAATTTTTCCCTTAGTGAAGTAGAGTCGCATTGCTCGTCAACAGCAGAACCTACACAAACGATGCATCTCTGTTGACTGGATGAATATCAGTAAGCAAACATACCGCCAAGACATGCTTGTAAGACCTAGATAGTACCATGCATCAGCCTAAGTGCATCATGATTACTTTTACCGCACTTGACGATACAGTACACATTCCATTTGACGAACCGCCCATCGCGTACCGCTAACGCTGGGCACACCCCAAGCTCGCAAGAAGTCGCATCGGTGGTACTTCCCCATCCGGCGACACCACGCGGCTCGCCTCGCATGCAACGGCGACCGTCCGTTACGCATCCGGAAAATGGGTGGTTATCGGCCCATGTCCGCATCTGATGGCGTTGTCCATGGCGCTCAACAGTTCAGCTGAACAGGAAAAGCTTGACTTGGACGTCGAGCTTGTGCATGCACTTTGTCGTACTGCTGCGATGGTGGAGAAGGTTGAGTAATCTTGAGGTGAGGAGGCTTGGGTTGTATATTGCTTGTGCCGTGGTGGTGATAAACAAGGCAAGGCTGAGATAAGGTTGTTTGGTTGACAGTGGAGAGACGGGAGCGAAGTGGGGCAGTCGCCGCGAGCCCGTGATGGGACGGTTGCGCAGGCACGACCGGATGGGCTGATAAACAATGGTACGAAGACGAACTCTGCATGGCACAGAGTGTTGTATCGAGCGCCCGCGAGAAATCAATTAACACGGTGTCAGGTATGGACTCAAAGCATTTTGCATTAGACCTAGCATTACATCCTGCACATTCCGTAGACATGTGCATCATCCCATTATCATGCATTAGTGCATTAAACATCAGACATTGAAAAGTATACGCTAGCTCCTCTTCCACATTACGCGATTAGAATAGTCCCAATCCGAGGCCCGCTGCTCCAATCAACATGCCCGCGAAGTGACCTGTTGGAAGTGCTGCGCCTCCAAGGAACTCGGAAGTCGAGCTTGGGCTCGGCTCTGGGGCAGACGACGTGTCTTCTGAGGTAGTAGTAGAGCGCGTCGAGGTAAGGCTCGATACGATGATCGACGAGGACGGAGGGGCAGACGAGGGTGCTTCCAGTGAGGAAGAAGGCTCGGGAACGGTCGAGGGCTCCGGAACCACGGATGATTCAGGAGGAGGAGGAGCGGACGGCGATGGACCTTCAGACGCGGAGTCAGCAGGACTGCTTGATGGAGGCGCGATACTTGTCGGTGGTGGTGCAGCGCTGGAAGACGGAAGGGCCGTGCTAGACGGTGCAGGTGCCGCACTACTTGGACGTGGAGCCGGGCTCGAAGATGGAGGTGGAACTCGAGTACTGCTTGGCGGTGGTGGTGGTGGAGGTGAAGCGCTGCTAGAGGGTGGCGGCGGAGGAGGTCGCGAGCTGCTAGGGGCTGGGATTGCACTAGAAGAAGGAGGTGGAGGGGGAGGCCTACTTGAGGTTGGTGGAGGAGGTGGCGGCGGCGAGCTTGGTGAAGCAGCGGTGGTTGTTGGCACTGCGCTCGTCGAAGGTGGAGGCTCAGACGGAAGAACGACGGACTGCGCTGTCGGGAGGTACACTGACGCTGTAGTCAAGGCTGGTTGTGTGAGGACATATGTGTTACTTCCCACGAAAGATTGACTGATGTCCGTTGTACCCCCACTAGCTGGGTCACATGCGCTTGGCCCAATGGACTGGCCAAGCTGGGCAATGACAGTCGGCTGGCTGTTGAGGAAGTCGACTACCGTGGGCGCCACGAACGCTGTGTTGGGGACGGAGTCGAGAGGTACAATGAGAGACGCATAGAGCGTAGGAGCTGACAAGGCAAGGGTTTCTGTATCAATCACACAAGCAGTTCCCAAAGCCTCGACCTCCAAATGGCTGAAAGTCTCGTAGGCCAGGTACGTCGTGGGATACGTCAGTGGCACGCCTGAATAATCCCATGTGAATGACGGCGGCGCTTGAGACGGTAGTGCGTTGATGACGAGTGATGAGCTGACGGCACTATTCAGGTTATCCGTGTAGATGGTGAGCGTAGCTGTTGGTACCGTTACAGTTTCGGTCACAATTACCCCAGGGTACTCTAATTTGGTCGCGGTAACGTCAATCTGGCACTCGCTAGAGCAGGAGATTGATGCAGGTGTCGTGGAAGATGGACTTGGTGTCAATGTTTCCACAATGGTAGTAGGCTGGACCTGGGTGGTGACGAAGGACTGAGTGATAAGAACAGTGGATATGGACGTCGTTGCAGGCAAAGTCACGGTAGCTACCGAGGTGGAGCCAGGAAGGGAGATTGTGGTCAATACTGTAGATCCTGGTAGTGTGACAGTTGACAGTACAGTACTTGTTGTAACGCTGCCTGGTAATTGGCTTACTATCGTGGAGGTGACAGCAGGCAGCGTTATCGTCGAGAGGATAGTGCTGGCTGGTAGCTGGCTTGTAACAACCGAGGTCTCTGCAGGAAGCTGAATCGTAGAAGTGACTACTTCACCAGGTAAAGTGAGTGTGGATACAATTGTACTCGCTGGCAGCTGGGAAGTTATCACGGATGTAGTGCCGGGGAGTTGAACAGTGGTAGTCGTAAGTTCGCCAGGTAGAGTGATAGTGGAAAGTACCGTACTTGCGGGGAGCTGCGTTGTGACCGTTGAGGAGACTCCGGGAAGCGTTAAAGTCGTGGTGGTAATCTGGCCTGGCTGTGTAAATGTCTCCACAACGGTCTCTGGTGGCGATATGCTGACAGAAGTCACCGTGGCTTGCGGGAAAGTAAGAGTCGATACGATCGTTGAAACCACAGTACTAGGCGGAATTTGAGTTGTAATTGTTGAAGTCTCGCCTTCTAACGTTGTCGTAGTTGTGGTGACCTGGGGTGGTAGAGTCAGAGTGCTAAGCTGCGTAGATACTTCTGTGACTGTCTCCTCAACTGTCTCTGTGGGGCCCGGAATGGTGACCGGAACAGTGGTCTCTATCGTACGATCCGATGTCACGACAACAGTTTGTGGAAGAGTTTCCGTAAAAGTAGTCGTGATGAATATCTCGGAAAAGACAGTCTCAGTAGTAACACTCGTAGTGCCAGACAGGGTCAGGGTTGATACAATGAATTGTGTTGAGGTTGAAGTTGACACGGATGTAGACACGCTCGTCGTCAGAGACGTTGTGGTCACGCTGATCACTTCTGTTGTCGTTGTTGGCGTGAAGCTGATGATAGTCTCAATTGGACCAGGGACTGACACTGTCTGGACCGAAGTCTGAATGGGTCCGGGAACCGAGACGGTTTCCACTGTAGTCTGCGTAGGACCTGGAACAGAGACGGTCGGTCCAGGGACGGTCGTTGTCACAGAGATGAGGTCGGTAAGAGTGAGCGTTTCTGTTGTTGTCGAAACCACCGTTTCGGTCCTGACAGATGTAGTTCCAGGCACTGTTTAGCAATCAGCATGTCTGTAGTACATCGCTCCGGAATACAGAGAAGGAGGAACGCGATGCTCGAAGACATGACAGATATCAAAAGAAGCAAGGCGAAAAGATTGCATGGTGTGGATGTATCACTTACATGTTTCAGTAATAGTCTCATAGTTCGTGGTGGTGTAGGTGGTAACCGAGATATAGGTCGATGTTGAGATGCTGACCGTCGTAGAAACGTCAGTTTGGGTAGTGATGTCGGTTGTCGTTGCCGTAGTCGTGATGAGATCGGTAGTTGGTACAAGAGTCACTACCGTTGAGATTATGGTCTTCGTCGTATATTCTGTGATTGTGTTGTTGACGGTTGTCGTAGGCCCAGTCACGGTATCATAATCAGTCTTTGTGATGGTAGAATTGTTGACATGAGTCACAGTAATGGGCTGCGGAACAGAACAGTACTCGGACGAAGTAACAGTTTCGTGCTCAGTCTCAGTTTCGTGCTCAGTCTTTGACAGTCAGCAACAGTCAGGGGCAACTTAAGAATGGCTATACCTCTGTGACAGTGACCGTTTTCGTTTTGATTTCAGTCTCTGTTTCAGTTTCTGTTTTGGTCTCTGTTTCGGTCTTTGGAGGTGGTGGTCCAGGAGGTGGTGGTGGATGCGATGAAGGTGGTGGTGGATGCGATGAAGGTGGAGGAGGAGGTGGTGGTGGATGCGATGGTGGTGGAGGAGGCGCGGCGTATCCACTAGACGTGGTTACCTCTGTTGGGTAAGCGGGATAGGTCTCTGTCGGATAGTCGTCTGTGGGATAGGCTTCTGTGGGATAGGCTTCTGTGGGATAGGCGTCTGTCGGATAGGCGTCTGTGGGCGGGGTGTCGTATGCAGGCAGTGAAGTACTGTTGGAATCACC